AGACTAATTGTGGTATGACATCAAAAACATCATACATGAAGAAAGCAAAAGGTCATTAAAAGAGATAGGAAAGAAAGAGAACACCAAAATGCATGTCAGAAGAGACTCTGAAACTTGCTCTTGAACATAGAGTAGCAAAACAAATAAAAGAACTGACAAGATAAAAGAGCTGAACAGAAAATTTCAAAGAGCAGCTCATGAAGACGAAGGCAATTATTATGAGGAAATGTGCAAAGACCTGGAGTTAGGGAAAAAAAAAAGGAGGAACATGCTTGACATTTCTCAAGCTGAAAGAACTGAAGAAAAAAGTCAAGCCTTGAGTTGCAATAGTGAAAGATCTTAAGTGCAAAATATTGAATGATGCAGGAAACATCAAAAGAAGATGGAAAGAATACAGAGTCACTGTACCAAGAAGAATTGGTTGATGTTCATCCATTTCAGGAAGTGGTGTGTGATCAAGAACCAATGGTATTGAAGAAAGAAGTCAAAGCTTTACTAAAGTTATTGGTGAAAAACAAGGTTCCAGGAATTGATGGAATACCCATTAAGATGTTTCAATAAACAGATGCAGTGCTGGAGGCACTTACTCATCTCTGCCAAGAAATTTGGAAAACAGCCACCTGGCCAACTGACTGGAAGAGACCTATATTTATACCCATTCCAAGGAAAGTTAATCCAACAGAACATGGAAAATATTGAACAATATCATTAATATCACACACAAGTAAAATTTTCCTGATGGTAATTCAAAAACAAGTTATAGCAGTATATTGACAGGGAACTTCCAGAAATGTAAGCTAAATTCAGAAGAGGACGTGGAATGAGGGATATTGCTGATATTGGATGGATGTTGGCTGAAAGCAGAGAGTACCAGAAATCTGTTTACTAGATTTTATTACTATACAAAAGCATTCAGTTATGTTGATCATAACAAATTACGGATAACATTGAGAAGAATTGGAATTTCAGAGCACTTAATTGTGTTCATGAGGAACCTGCACATAGACTAGGAGGTCTGTTTAAACAGAACAAGGGGATACTATATGGTTTAAAATCAGGAAAGATGTGCATCAGGATTGAATCCTTTCACCATACTTATTCAATCTGTATGCTGATCAAGTAGTCCAAGAAGCTGGACTATATGAAGAAGAATTTGGCATCAGAATTGAAGGAAGACTCATTAACAACCTGAAGTATGCAGACGACACACCTTGCTTGCTGAAAATGAAAATGTCTTGAAACATTTACTGATGATGATTAAAGAATACAGTCTGGATTATGGATTACACCTTAATGTAAAGAAAATGAAAATCCTCACAACTGGACCAATAAGAAGCACCATGACAAATGGAGAAAAGATAGAAGTTGGCAGGGATTTCATATTACTTGGATCCAGCATTTTTTTGGTTACTTATACTGCTCTAATAGAAAGTACCATGAATGGAATGGCTTAAACAAACAGAAGTTTATTCTGTTACAGTTTGGTAGGAGGCTAGAAATCCGAGTTTAAAGTGCCAGACTCTCTGGGCTGGCTGAAAGCCCTTCAACCTTGGGCTCGAGCTCTGCCTCTTGCTCTTAGCCCACTGAAGCTGGAGGCTTTTCTTCACTCAGACAGCTGCTGGCTTGCTGAGGTTGACAAACCCAAGGTTGACAAGTAACCAGGCACAGTCTCAATATTACCAAACCACACTGCAGGCCATTGATTCAAGTCCATTAAGAGTCCCAAGATCAGCAGACAACATGGCAGCTGCTGAACAATGACTCAGATACATGCAGGGTCCAAGCATGCCATATTCTGTAGACCATTCCCAAAGCTTCTCCTTATATTCAGGAAGCAGATGACATCCCTAAGGCAGCTACTCAGCTGCTCACGGCAGATTCCACCATGGAAGTGATTGTCAGTTTCATCATGGGGAATAACTACCACTAGCTGCCCAGCCACTCAAAACCAGGCCCAGCTAAGTTGACATATAACCTTAGCTAACACAATCATGAACACCCATGGAAGCAGCAGTCAAGAGATCAGATGTCTTATTGCACATGGCTAATTTAAAGACCTCTTTAAAGTGCTGAAGATCACTTTAAAACATGTTTCTTTGAAGACTAAGGTATGCCTAACCCATGCCATGGACTCTCATACTGGTATCATATCTTTAAAAAAGTTACCTAATCCAAGGTCTCAAATATTTTCCTTTGTGTTTTTCTCTAGAATTTCATACTTTGAGATTTTATATTTTTGGCTATGATCCATTTTGAATTAATGTTTGTACATATGTGAATTAAGGATTCAAATTCTTTTTTTTTTTTTTGCATATGAATATCCAATTATTCCAGTATCAGTTATTAAAAAGGGTTATCCTTTATCCCTATATCACCTTTATATAGTTGTCCAAAATAAATTCTCATACATGTGTGAGTTTATTTCTGGGCTCTCTATTATGTTAAAAAAGATCTGTTTGTCTATATTTACATGAACACCTTATAAACATCTTATAATAATTCTGGAAATCAGGTATGTTAGCTCACACCTTTGCTGTATGTTTTCACAGTTGTTTTGGGAGTGCTAGATCCTTTGCATTTCCATATGAAACTTTGAATGAATGTATTATTTTCTACCAAAACAATATGCTAGAGTTTTGATTTGGATTGTTCCAAATTTATATATCAACTTAGGAAGAATTAACATCTTAACAATTTTGAGTCTTCTCACTTACAAAAAGAGTATGTCTCCCCATTTATATTTGTCTTCTTTAATTTGTTCCAAAAACATTTTATAGTTTCCATTGTACAAATGGTATTTACATTGGGTGTCAAAGTTATATTTGCATATGACATATTTTGATGCCATTATAAATAGTATTTTAGATTCACTTTCCAAATGTTCATTCCTGGTCTGTAGACATACAATTGATTTTTCTATATTGTTTTTATATCTTGAAACCTTGGTAAACTCATTTATTATTTTCAGTAGACATTTTGTGGATTCCATTGGATTTTCTATTGGTCCTGTTATCAGGAAGGACCATCCCTGGAGAAGGATATCATGCTTGGTAAAGTATAAAAGGGGAAGACCCTCAACAAGATGGATTGACAGAGGCTCGAGTATGGCAGCGACAGTGGAGATGGCAAGGAACTGGACAGTGTTTTGTTTTGTTGTACATAAGGTTACTATGATTTGGAACCAACTGGATGGCACCTAACAACAACACTGGAGTCTCTACATAGAAGACAATGTCACCTGCAGGTTATCTTTTAATTTACCATTTTAAATCTTCATTTTCAATCTAGGTGACTCTTTCCCTTTCTTCACTATTTTACCTCCAATCATATGTTGAACAGAAGTGGTGAGAACAGATATCTTTGTCTTGTTCCTGGTTTTAAGGGAAAATCATTCAGTGTTTCACCATTACATATAACCTTGTTGTTGTTCTTAGGTGCTACTGAGTCCATTTTTGATTCAGAGTGAGCCCATGAGACAAAGTAGAACTTCCCCCATAGACTTTTCTAGGTTGTAGTCTTTATGGGAGCAGATCATTAGGCCTTGCTCCTGGGTAGGTTCAAACCACCATCCTTTTGTTTAGCAGCTGAGCACTTAACTGTTGCAGCACTAGTACTCCTTCAAATATAATCTTAGCTGTAGATTTTTTGCATATGCCCTTTATCAGATTTTGGAAGTTCCCTTCTGTTCTTCATTTACTAAGAATATTTATCAGGAATGAATGTTGGATTTTCTCTAATGCTTTTTACGCACATATTGAAGAAATGTTTTTGTTTTTTCATTTAATATATTGAACTACATAAAGTGATTTTCAAATGTTAGACCAAGCTTGCAGTAGTTATAGCAAGTTTGTTGCATTTAATTTGCTAAAACTTTGTGTACAAATTTTGCCTCTGTGTTCATGTGTGATTATCAGTACCGTGGTCTCTTTTTGTGTGGCATGGGAGCTAAGAAAGTTTTTCCCATTTTAAAGCATGAGGAAGAGGAAGACTGAGATAGAAATGGGGATTCAATTTAAAATAGGGCAGTCAGGGAAGACATCATCCAACAAATGACCCTGAGTAGAGCCCTGAGGAGTGATGGCAAGATCCCAGTATGTATCTGAGGTCCAAGCAAGAAGAGTAACAAGGGAAAAACTGTTAGCAAAATTTAATTTATAATTTAGAGAACAACATGGAGGCCAGAGTGGCTGAGCAGAGAGCCTCAGTGGAAAAGTAAGAAAGAAGAAAGGCATCACCATGTAGGGCATTGCACAGACTTTGGTTTTTACTCTAAGCAGATGGAAAGCACTAGTGTTTTGAGAGAAAATGTGGCATGATGTAATTAGATGAAAACTCACTGCCTTCAAGTTGGTTCTGACTGATAGAGCCCTCTCCTTGGATTTCCGAGGCATTATCACTATGGAAGTAGGTTACCCAATTTTCTTTCCGAAGAGTGGCTGGTGGGTTTATTTAAATAAATTATGTGTACGTGTACAAGTTTTCAGGAATAAACAGGCTAGGCAAAAGGAAACACTTGTAGACACTTTATTTCTATAATGGGGAAATCTCACATAAAAATCTTCATCATTTTATTAATTCACCAAAAGATATTAAGTCAGTTATAATTAAAGGAAAAAGTTCACACCCAACTATCAAGAGTCATTTTGTCTTCTTGTCTTCCCTCTGTAATATAAACAAATATATAATAAATACTATATAAATGAATATGTGTAGTTAGTAACTGGTTCTATTATTTTATATCAGAGGAATATTAAACACATAGGAGAGGCTTTTTATGGCATTTTCTGAAACCTTTGAAACAATTCAAAAGAATTTTGAGTTAGTTCAGTCATTAATTTAACTTTATGGACTTAATTTTGTTCTAGTGTTTTTAAAATAAACTTTTTATTCAATTGCATTTATTTTTAAGAAAAGCATTTAGTAGGCACTCTTATGATGTATCTCACATTGGATTGGCATTATTTTTAGTCTTATCTGAATTTTTTATTACCTGAAGTAGTTTAAACACCCAAAGTAGCACGAGTTTTTGAAATTAGTTTTGGACCCTGAAAATTAAGAATAAATAAGAATTATCAGATTAAAGAATGGAAGATTGTGTTGGTCATATGTTTAACTCACCATTATCTAGGGATGAATTCACAGACTTGTAGAATGATCAAGTTAAAAAATAAAGATATATAAAGATAAATGTTCAACATCTACTCTAAATCAAAGATTAGAATGGAGAGAGCAGAGAAGCTAGATTAATGGAAACAGAACAAGCAGAATGAAAATGATAAGAATACTGACACATTGTGAAAAATGTAATCAATATATTATTGAATAATATGTATAGAAATTGCTAAATGTAAACCTAATTTGTTGTGCAAACTTTCACCAAAAGCACAATAAAATATTATATATTAAAATTGCTAACTAGAAGTTCGGTGGTTCAAACTCACCAGCTACTCCACAGAAGGAAGATAGGACAATCTACTTCCATAAAGATTTACCACCTCTGAAACCCAGTGGAGATCTCTGTGAGTTGGAATTGATTCTATGGTAGTGAGTTTTGTTTTCTCTTTTTTTGATTATTGAAAAAAATAAAGATACACATCTCTGATGCCAGCAAGCCAGGAGAGTGAAAGCCAAAGAGGAAAAAGCACACCCCTACCAACAGTAGATTTTTGTGCTTTCTATATCAATTTCCAAGGAGCTCTGGTGGTGCAGTGCCTAAGGCATTTGACTGTTAACCACAAGGTTGGCAGTGCAAACCCACCAGCCACTCCATGGAAGGAAGACTGGGCAAAATACTTCCATAAAGATTTACTGCTTCAGAAACCCAAAAAGAGTCGCTATGAGTCAGAATCAACTTGATAGCAATGAGTTTGGTTTTGTTTTTATATAGGTTTCCAAATTCCTGCCAGTTTATCAGTTTTGTTTGGTTGGTTTTGGTTATCTGTGTCTCGTCACCTGCCCCTGCAAACACAGATACATAATGATAAGTATGCACACTTAACTACATCTAATTACATCACTTATAAGAAAAACTGTACTCTTGGAAGACTTACCTATCTTTGGAGGTTACATATAATAAAAGATACAAACTTTCACATTGTGAGACAGATAAAATTAGAAAAAGCCTGAATTAGGAATGTTGTTGTTGTTGTTA